TTAGTTCCTTTGAGAGGTAGGAGATTTCGAATGGTTGAAGGGTATGGCCTTCGGAAGCATTTCGGTTGCCGATGTCGGAAAGGATCTTGAAGACCAGTTCGATGAGTGGTATGGCCGGGTAGAAGACCGTGGTGGCTCGGTCGATGTTGAGGAGAAGGCTGTTCTCGCCGACATGCACGCTCTGGTGGTAGCCAAACCAGATGTTGAGGCCTCCGCTGATCTCTCGCATGTCCTTCCTCTCTGGCCGCATATACATGGATCGACCAACTGGGACCAAGTTGAAGGCTGGGCAATGTCTTAGGATGGTTTCAATCGCCATGACCGCCTCTGGCGCTACCGTGCCGACTTTCTTCTCATACACTTGATGTAGAGTATCCAAGTTGATTGCACAGGTCTTTGATTCTTTCTTTCGAACTGGTTTAATGATGACCTTGAATTGGGAGATTTTCTTGGTACGATCCTTACGTAATTCTTCTTCTTCGTAATCCACAATTCTTTCGATATCTTTCTCAATTGGTAATGGATTCTTGGTAATGAGATTTTTATTGCCGTCATAGGCTGGGAAACAATTTTGAAAGATTTCGTCCGATTTTCGCATCGTTTCAATAATCATCCGATTTAATTTCAGGCTGAGGGGACGGAGTTTCTTGTTGTCGAAAGCCATTTTTTCACCAATGGCTTCTTTCCTGACGACGTCGATCTCCACGTCGTAATGGTAGACATACCCTGAAGGAATCTTAAGGACAAAATGGTTGGCGTAGATGGGGAATTTACGACCGCACGTCCCTTTGCCTGGTCGACGTACCAATTCCAACTTAGGGAGATGACTCTCCGGTGCTAATTTGGTTTTTAACTCCTGAATGAGTTCTTCCTGTTCATCTGGAATCACTATCGGCTTCTCAGGACGGTTCTGTATTGGCTGTTGGAGAGTCCTCCAAGCTGGAGTGACGGGAGGTTTGGGGACTTCTTTCGGAGGTGTTATGACATCAGGTGGCTTTGGTTTGTCGCCGCTCTCTATAAGGGACGCGCGGCCTCTGCCCACCGTGACGGTCCCCCTACCCCCTCTTGACCCTGCCGAAAGTGAAGGATTGCGATCACCCCCTCTACCAACTGCTCCCAGAGTTGGGAAATCTTGAGTGTTGGTGGAGCCTCGTCCTCTAGACCCCGTGGAACCTCTTCCAACTCCTCCACGGGCTCCTTCCTTCTTGACCCAGGCCATGGTTTGACTTTAACTTATTGGTTTTGCAAGAAAATTTGTTTTTTCTTCGCTTCAATCGGAAATACCGTTAGTGTAAAGTGTTGTTCGCTGCACAGACTTATCTTAACAAATCTCGTGGGATGAGCTTTAACGGAGCTCGAGAATTCCTTAAGTTTAAATCGGCGCGCCTTTTTGAAATGTTACCAAGCACGGGGTTCATTCCTCTCACCACCACCACCGTAATATTTGAAAAATATGGAAAAAAATATTACAAAAAGTGGAATTATACTGGGATTAGATTGATAAAATATGAGAAAGGTATCTCCGACATTTATTCCGACAGATTACGTAAGCCATTAAGCAACTTTTAGTTACATGAATGAAAGATGCCTTTCTCGTAATTAAAAAAAAAGTTCTTCTTCTTGTTCCAAAATCACTTTATTAGGTACCGCTCAAAAAGAACAACTTAGTTTATGATATTTTCAACAATAAATAATATTACGATGCACTAGCGTGCCATCTGTTATCAAATTACAAAACTATTTTAGACGCGTAATATTCTTTTTAAAATAAAACAATATCTACTGCCCTTACTGCAATGAAAAATATAATTGTTCGAATAAAAGAAACAAATTGATATTTGCGGAAGAGCGATTGCTCGAAGCATATTATATATTTATAGCGGACGTACCCGGCTTCGCCCGGGTTTTACCCGAGTAAAAGTTTGTCTAACGAATCTCTCGATAAAGTGAACATTTTTTTCCCGGTCCCTTGAAAAATACTCGATAAGTTGAATAAAATCAATATTAATTGGTTCCCTCGGTAATTGGAAGTTAAAGGAATAGTATCTTGCCTTGGAATTGTATCATTATTCTTGTATGGATGTACCCGGGTTTTACCCGAGTAAAGGTTTGTTTAACGAATCTCTCGATAAAGTGAACATTTTTTCCCGGTCCCTTGAAAAATACTCGATAAGTTGAATAAAATCAATATTAATTGGTTCCCTCGGTAATTGGAAGTTAAAGGAATAGTATCTTGCCTTGGAATTGTATCATTATTCTTGTATGGATGTACCCGGCTTCGCCCGGGTTTTACCCGAGTAAAGGTTTGTTTAACGAATCTCTCGATAAAGTGAACATTTTTTCCCGGTCCCTTGAAAAATACTCGATAAGTTGAATAAAATCAATATTAATTGGTTCCCTCGGTAATTGGAAGTTAAAGGAATAGTATCTTGCCTTTGAATTGTATCATTATTCTTGTCTCAAATAAATTGCCGTGTCATCCTGAATTTTGTCTTTCCTAATTTTCTACATTACAAAATCATCGTATCATCATGATAATATTTAGAGCAGATTGTTGAATTATAACAGATAAATTAGAATATTTATCTTGATTATTTCTAGGCGAAAAGTTATTTCAAAAATTTTATTTGCTAGAAACCTTCCCAGTACTATACTAAATAACTTCCCAAAGTTTCATGGCGATCCAATGAGTGGTTTGGTCAGGCATAAAGGACAAACAAACAAACAGACACACACACATACATTCATTTTTATATATATAGATAATTATATGTAATTCTGCTGTCCTAAAAGCTTATGTCCATAGTTCATCTAAAATACCCATTCGAAGAGTCAAGCATCAGTATCACTATAAAAGGAAGTTCCAAAAATGCAATATAACAGCGGTATGGTAGATTAAACTGGCGAAACCGCTGGGAGGGTTCACCACTGATGAGCCCTCCCTTCAATTTTTCCATCGCAGTAAGGGCAGTAGATATTGTTTTATTTTAAAAAGAATATTACGCGTCTAAAATAGTTTTGTAATTTAATAAATAATATGTGAAGGTTATTCACATATTGAAACAAAGGGTCCAAAGCGGGATTCGATCCCGGTTCATGACTGTCGGTAATCGAGTTGTCCACTGACTCTTATTTAAAAAAAGTGTTTCACCGTATTAGTTCAGTTCCAAAATCACTTTATTAGGTACCGCTCAACAAGAGCAACCTAGTTTATGATATTTGCAACAATGAATGTGAAGGTTATTCACATATTAAACAAAATGTTAACGTGGGATTTAATCCCGGTTCATGACTGTCGGTAATCGAGTTGTCCACTGACTCTTATTTAAAAAAGTGTTTCACCGTATTAGTTCAGTTCCAAAATCACTTTATTAGGTACCGCTCAACAAGAGCAACCTAGTTTATGATATTTGCAACAATGAATGTGAAGGTTATTCACATATTAAACAAAATGTTAACGTGGGATTTAATCCCGGTTCATGACTGTCGGTAATCGAGTTGTCCACTGACTCTTATTTAAAAAAGTGTTTCACCGTATTAGTTCGGTTCCAAAATCACGTTATTAGGTACCGCTCAACAAGAGCAACCTAGTTTATGATATTTGCAACAATGAATGTGAAGGTTATTCACATATTAAACAAAATGTTAACGTGGGATTTAATCCCGGTTCATATCTGTCGGGAATCGAGTTGTCCACTGACTCTTATTTAAAAAAGTGTTTCACCGTATTAGTTCGGTTCCAAAATCACTTTATTAGGTACCGCTCAACAAGAGCAACCTAGTTTATGATATTTGCAACAATGAATGTGAAGGTTATTCACATATTAAACAAAATGTTAACGTGGGATTTAATCCCGGTTCATGACTGTCGGGAATCGAGTTGTCCACTGACTCTTATTTAAAAAAGTGTTTCACCGTATTAGTTCGGTTCCAAAATCACTTTATTAGGTACCGCTCAACAAGAGCAACCTAGTTTATGATATTTGCAACAATGAATGTGAAGGTTATTCACATATTAAACAAAATGTTAACGTGGGATTTAATCCCGGTTCATGACTGTCGGGAATCGAGGGTGTTACCCACTCGTCCACCGACTTTTTTATATTTCACCGTATTATATATTACAATTAATTTCAAACAGATTTTTAGCATTTATATGATTCCAACTTTGAAGAGGTTTCTGGATCGTGATTTAATATTAATTTGGTAAAAGGTATCAAAAACATATTTTTAAAAAATTCACAATGAGTATCTCTTTTTTAACTTTTAAAATGCAAGCTTACAAGTGAAAATAGACCCATTCCGTAACCTTCAATATTAGATTAAAAATTATATATAAAGAAGCTATAATATTTTTAAAGTTTTTATTTAACTTGCTTCTATGTCTGTACACAAATATTGTATTCAATTTTTAATATATTAATACTTCCAGAGCACATAGCAATCTGAAATTCTGTAAACTTTTTAGAACTTGATACTAATGCACGTTAACAAATTTTTAGACTTCTGGGTTGACAGGGTGGCTGGGAACGAACAAATTTCCAAATTTCCTTTCAAATTTTGTAATGACATTTTTATGTTTTTTTCAGACCACACACACATATATATATAAAAAATAAAAGAGGCATATCCTGACCAGGAGCACATGTGCTTTTCAGAAGGCAGAGCGCCATCTGGTGGAACAGAAATCAACTATTCATTGATTTAGTCTGTTCCCTGATATTTGGCCAACCCAATTTCTTGATAAATCAAGAAAAGCCATCCACGAACATATATATATATAAAAGTCAATTTCTGTCTGTCTGTTTCGCGATAAACTCAAAAACTACTGAACCAATTGGTACCAAATTTTGCATGTCGCTTTTTATAAACCTGAGGAAAATTTTCGGCTGAATTTTGATTAGTATTTTTGGCTATTTCTTTTTTTCATTTGAAGAACTTTTTTTTTACGCGGACTAATCCGGAAAGGAATGAATACCTAAATATGGCCATTTTTTAAAGCATCGGTGGTTCAGTGGTAGAATGCTCGCCTGCCACGCGGGCGGCACGGGTTCGATTCCCGCATACTAATATAATACAATTTTTGCCATCACACACACTTTTTTTCCTGTAGTTTATGTGTTACTTCTGTATTGCTATTCTATGGCACTTCTAATATTTATTATTGATATACTTTTAGTATGAAGGAAATTGCACCCAAGGGATTTCTCGGGCGAAGCCGGGTCATTCGCCTAGTATATATATAAGTATGAAAATTTTAATGCTTTTAAAAATGTATTACTTCAAATTCATGTTGATATGTTGGACAAATGCCCAGAGTGGGTGAGATGTTATAGTGCTTGGCAACATGGAGTTTTTGTTGTGTCCATGGAGCATGTGATTGGACCGAATCCATTGTTGACCAGTGACCTCTTCGGACTACCGCCCTTCCTTCAATGTCATCCATTGGGAGCTCTATGCATTCAAATCTGGGACCTTCTTCACTAACAGTTGGGATATATGCAACTGAAGCTGAGACCTTCAATGTCACCCTTTGGAAGATCTATGCATTTAAAGCTGAGGCCTTCTTTACTACCATTTATGCAACTGAAGCCACGCTCTTCAATGCTAGCCATTGGAATATTTGCAATTCAGAAAGGAACGCAAGCAGAATCTTGAATAAGTTCAACCACCAGCTAGTTCAATAATGCTGACGTTCCAGTGGTGATGATTTCCACCAGGTTGGACCGTAGATGTTTGAAGTTTGATTGTCTTTGCCACAATAAGGTTACGATGTGCCGTTCTAACATTATGAACACATTCACGTCTCTCTCATTGCGAATACTGTTTCAGGAACATGTAATCAATATTTCAACAATGATTTAGTTAAATTAATATTGAAGTTATATATATATATATCGGTGAAGAGAGAGTCAATAAGTTCTTGATATTTGATACTGTACAAGAGGTCACCAGTCCGGAACGAGCGGTGAAGGCCAAAGAATCCCGCAACTTAGCTAGCTAACTTAACTCAAAGTCGTGTCCGCTGTGTTTTCCAGGAGTTCGAGATGAGTGATTCCTCGGGCCCCGTCCTCCAACCAACGTTACCAACGCTAAGCCACTGGGAACTCGTCTTCTCGGCCAGGTTCTGTCCATTTCTGTCAGGCTCTTTCATGATTTCCTGCGTTGCTTAACTGGTATCGTCAGAGGATCTGATAGCACCGTTCCACCTAGATCAACGTTGCTCCATCTCTATGTTTTCCCCGAGAGACATGGTGCGTCGTTGCCATGTCCGGGACAGTTGACATGACCTCGCCTTTCCCGAAGACAAGAGGAGTAAGACCTTTTTGTCGACGTTGATTGACGTGGCGCGTCGTTGCCCTAGACCTCTTCCAATCAACTCCTCATTTTGTCCGGGACTGTTACAAAGTGGTCTCTTGTTCCATTCCATACAGTATTCCATCTGTTTGTGTCGTGCCAGTTGGTCCACAGGCCCACGTTGTGTGCAGGTCCACTAGCTCCACCTCTGGCGGTCTCTACCCAGATGGTCTCCGTCCACCGCCAATTTACGGTAAACACCTTTCTTTACCCCCGCTAGATTTTATTGGGATTTTCTTTGGCCTTCACTGCTATTTCTTGACATCCTCTCCTCCACGGTCTGATGTTTGTACAAACCTTATTTTTTGTTTTACTGGCGATTTCTTTAAATCATAATTTAAAAAAAAAAAAAAAAAAACCTCACAGATAGTCACCACTGGTTCTTAACTTGACAAGTCAATCAGTCCGCTTCAACGACCATTCCAAGGTTATTGGAATAGCTAAATGTGAGTGTTAAGTCCGGTCTGTAATGGGGGGAGGGAGGAAGTGGTGTAAATCAGTCAGTAGGTGTGAGGTTATACACAACAAGGGTGATAGATGACACTGCTGTACACTGTTGTATCGCCAACTATAGTGCGGCCAGAAGGAAAACACACGAACTTTAAAGGCACCAAGTCCTCCGCAAGTCCAGAATTGGAGGGAGTACTAACTTCAATTCTCTCAAGTAAAGAAGTCAAGTTCAGCGCGCCCAAGTCGAATATCGCTAAAGCTGCCAAGTTTCCCTCAAAGTTCAAATTTTGAAAATGAAAATCAAATTGCCCAAGTCTAAGAAGTCCAAGTGTTACTGATACAACATTTCAACAAGATTGGTTCATTTAATAAACTATCAAAACTCAATCCCAGCCAGGCTCACGTGTTGTTTTACCCCAAATAGCTAATACACCAGAGTAAAGCAGACAGTCAGTATAGTAGAGGATTGGACATGATTCAAATACACCACTTTGACTGATGGAGAAAAATAGATGTACTTATTATAATTAAATAATCAAAAGGCTTATATCTATTGGATCGATATAATATATTTCTAAAGTCAATATTTGATAAGGATGTTGTTAGCCTATCTTCTTCTTGCTGTTTTAAAGAAAACATCACATTTCGTTCTGTACGTGGTCTTGATAAGTTTACCAGAGTCGAATAATCTAAACAAGATGTTAGTGATGTGTTTCACCTAAGATTATATATTTTTTATTACTAAAAACAACACAAATACGTTTAATAAATGGCTTTTGCTGGGAGGAACATAGCTAAGTCACTCTGACTAGTACTGTCTGTGAGATATTGGTTTCTGATATAACCACAGTACTAGTCAGAGTGACTTAGCTATGTTCCTTCCAGCAAAAGCCATTTATAAACGTATTTGTGTTGTTTTTAGTAATGAAAAAAATATAAACAAGATGTGCTAACCGCCCTGTCGAAATATTCACATTTGAAATAAATAATATTGATCTCTCCAGAGGATAAGTTTTTGATTATTTTAAGTGGATTTATCTATTTTCAACATGTATTAGAATTTTTTTAAAAAGTACAAATTTAGATTATAGATACAAGAAAATAAGACTTAATCCAAATAATTTAATAGTGCGTGACGTTTCGGTAACAGCACATTGTTACTATCATCAGAATAACAAAAGATAATGGTAACAATGCTGTTACCGAAACATCACACACTATTAAATTATTTGGATTAGGCCTTATTTTCTTGTATTTATTAGAATTTTTGTGTAAGAAAAGTTGTAAATTCCATATTAAATCTATCAAACGTAATTTTAAAATAGGATTTGGCTCAACCCTATGATGAAGAAATAGCAAAGACTCACAGAGAGAATTTCTCTTTCCCTCCTGCAAGGTCGAGGGGGACCACTTCTACTCCACCAACTCGCCATATGTAAACAGCCAGGACAAGGTGACTCGACACCTGTAAACTGATTATCGTAAAGATAGAGGCTGCCTGGCTGGCATTCATAGTTCTTCAAATAAAATATTTTCGGCCAGTAAATCGAAACGTCGAGACAATAAAAAGATTTACTGGCCGAAGTGTCTTTTATTTGAAGAAACCTGTAAACTGAGACGAAATAAAAAAATTCTCTTTTCAAATCTTTGAAAACTTTAAAAAAGCGGTTTTTAGTCATTATTCCAAATTAGATGGTGAACTCAACACAAAACACGGAATTCTCTGAACTGTAGCCTTCTGATCATCAGTGGACAAGTCATCTAAACACAGTTGGTTTTCGATCGCTATGACCCAGGATCGAATCCCACATTGAGCACTTTTTTCTATATACATATTGCAATATATTTGTACCTTCTTATTATCAGAAAATCTTTATTGTCTTTATAATGTCTGATACATCTTTTGTTGTTTATTTGCAAACCGCCAAAAATGACAAAAACAAATCAAAAAGGGATGATGATAACCTGCGTCTTGCAGATTAACATTTTCATAGAAGCATATATATATACATATTTATTGCTAGCTATATATCACATATACAAAATATAGTCTTTTACCAACCACCTAGAAGTCAGAAATTTTGTCAATTTACATTGTCATCAGATTTGAGCAAGTATACCAAATTTCAAACTTCTAGGTGTGCTCTGTAGGTATATATAAAATTGATTAGAAGATTTGTGAACAGATAGACATGGAAGCAAGTTACAAGAGTATTTTTTGATAAGGCACAATTTAGATTATAAACACAAGATAATAAGACCAAATTCAAATAAATAAATAGTGTGTGACGTTTCGCTAACAGCATTGTTACCATCTTCATACAAAAGTACTGAATGAATTAGTGGTCAAATTTCTCATTCAATACTTTTGTCTGAAGATGGTAACAACGCTGTTACTGAAACGTCACACACTAGTTATTTATTTGGTCCTATTACCTTGTGTATAAGAGTATTTTTAAAAATATTATTTTTTTAATGATTTAATATTTGGTTATCTCCTAAAAAAAATTCCACTAGCAGTGAATGCTGTTGTGAATTGATAATCATCTTAACTGACTTTAATTCAACTTAAAGCTATGATTCCTTATGGTATTGAGTTAAAGAATTCAGTCTGTATTATTTTAATGTGCTGTTGTTAACGTACATCAAGTCGACTTTTAGTGACTATATGGACAAATATTCTACAATTCTATATACAGTTACGAGCGTCATGGCCTCTGTCACGGTTTGCCGGCGCCCTCCTATTGGTCGGCTACGATCACGCCACCTTTGCCCCCCCCCCCCCCCCCCCCCCCCCCCCCCATCATTTGGTGCCGCCAATGCGCGAGACACTTCTGTCACCGTTTGCTTTTGGTTCAGTGGTAGAATGCTCGCCTGCCACGCGGGCGCCCCGGGTTCGATTCCCGGCCGATGCATTTTTTTTTCTACAATTTTAAAAACTCATTTATATATTATACAAGAATGACATCCACGGCGCCAATATATAATTGTAACGAATAGTATTTTAATAAAAGCATTTAATCGGGTAAACCCCGGGCGTTGCCCTGGTCATTCGGCTATTTTGATCTATTGGTAACCTTCAATCTTAGCTTATCCAGTGACCTTCTGGTAGTTTTCTTGAGCTGCCAGATCACATTGCAGGTCTTCCTGAGTTTTATGATAATTATGATCTATATATCAATAATAAATTTATGATTATAGCTTCTACTTTTTTTTTCACTTGCAGTGACTCCGGGGTAAATCCAGGTATAAGAAATTTATTTTCCT